TATAAAAGTATTTTATAAAGTATTATATAATAACTTTTTTTTTACCTAATATATTAAAAAAAAAAGTATATTTTAAAATTACTTATATTTAATACTTTTTTAATAATAAAAAGTATAAGGATTTTTAAAAACTAATAAAGGAAATAAACTTATACAGCCCCCCTTTTATAAAAATAAATACGTAAAATAAATTAATACTTTTTTATTTTCTTTATTATATTAAAATATAGTAAACGCTTAATTTAAACTTAGCGGCTCCTACTATCTTAATACTTAAATAAGGACTTATATAACTAAATTACTTAGTAGACGTTAATAATAAAATAAATAAATAAATAAATAAATAAACATACCCTTTAAAAAATGGATATCTTATAAGAACGGAATATCCTTTGCAGCTAGTCGATATTTTGTTTCTCCTGAAGATGACCTCCGCGGTATCTATTTTAATAATAGTGAAGTACAAGCTGGGGATCTAGTTGCTTTAGAAATAGCGTGAAGATATAGTAATTGTTTTCAGTTACACTGGCTTAGCATAGGCTGATATAAGTAAGAGCATCTAGAATGTTGACTTGTGGACAAACTAGTTGTTATAATAATAGTCCAAGACTTCTTCTAGGCTAGCCACAGCACCCCTCCATGTATTCCTCCTACCCACTCCCTACTCCATGTCCAGCATTTCTCAATACACTCCGACTTCCCCGCCAACAATGGAGGGATGACTCAAGCCGCCGGCACTTGTCATAATCCTCGATCATGAAAAATCAGGCATGACCAACGATGTTCTTTGGCACGTACGGCTCTTCTAAATACTTGATCTCGTCAGCTGTTAACTCCTTTCCTCGCAGATCGCATGCTTCTTCAAGTCTCAGCAACGAGTTGAGACCAACAACTGGCACAGCTCCCTTACTGCGAAGCCAGGCAAGGGCGACTTGGCTCATCTTCCACTCTTTCTTGGAGGCCAACTCCTCTACCCGCTGGATAATCTCTTCATCTACTTTCGTAAGGTTGCCTGTTGGTGAAGGCATCTGTGCTCTCACAGATGCCGCGTCACCGAGTGGTCTTGCCAATTTACCACCAAAGTTGGGCGACCATGGCATAATTCCCACGCCGGTTTCATTGCAGTACCTGTTCATCTCTCGCTCCTCTTCGCGATAGCACAAGTTATAGTAGTTTTGCATACTGATAAACTTGGTCCAGCCGTTCTTCTCAGCCACGGATTGCATTCGCGCAAATTGGGTGGCCCACATAGAGGAGGCACCGATGTATCTTATTTTCCCAGACACAACTAGATCGTGTAAAGCTCTCATCGTCTCTTCAATTGGCGTGGAGGGGTCGAATCTGTGTATCATAAAGAGATCGATGTAATCGGTTCCGAGGCGTTTCAGAGATGCATCGACAGCCCTGAATATGGCGTTGCGAGAGAGACCTACAAAAACACACCATTAGCTTCGTGTATCCAACCTCCCAATTCACAAGCAAGGTCATATAGCTAGTGATAACGTACCTGATTGGTTCACATAGTCCTTCATCTGTGACATCTCTTGCTGCCACGGACCCGTAAAAATATCCGGCTCATCGGTTATGGCGAGAAAGCACTTGGTCATGATGACAACTTTCTCGCGTGGAATATTATGCTTCTTCAGCGCCTTTCCGATGACCTGCTCACTAATGCCATTCGAGTACAGGTCTGCCGTGTCCCATGTGTTTAAACCTCGATCATAGGCCGCCTTGAGAATCTCGATGGATTCATCTTCGTCGAGCACCCACGGCATCCACTTAGATGAGCCCAAGGACATTGCGCCGAGGATTGGTACAGAGACTCGGAGGCCTGATGTGCCGAGTCTCACATACTCGACCCGACTTTCGTCAAGGCTCTTCTGGAGTGCTGGAGGTAGTGAGAAAGCCATTGGATCTGCAGAGAAAGAATGAATTGGATGGATTGTATTTTTTCTGCTTTAAAACAAGCTGTATGTTAAGATGAGAGATGTTCGAAATAGACGTTGTTGTCTTGTTAAAAACCTTAGAAGCCATCACGTCGCCCAGCCCTTTTATACATATTCCCACTATCTGTCTCCTGAAGTATAGAGACTTTAACATCCGATAAGTCCGTAACATACATTTCAGCCCATACTCTGTAGTACAAAGTCAGAGATGAAGCTATTGTTCACTCTTGCTTCCAGTCCTTCTTCATTTTGCTCATGTCGAACTTCTTTTACTAATTCATGTTCCAAATAGCTGAACTGACAAAGAGCGAAGTATGGAGACCTCGCGCGTTTATCCAAAAATGGTTTAGCTCCTATCCAAGAGCATGTCCAGTGAAATCCCAGAGGAATCGAGTAGATCACACTAAATCCTGCAAGGTCGTGAAGATACCCGCAACTAGGCTGGGACCTGAAAATCGGACCATAATCCTCCGCAGCCTTGCAATTGAACATTACAAATCTGTGGACTCAGTACCTCATATGCAAACAGTTGCAGACACAATAATGCAGTATTGTAGCACACGTCTCAAGCTTAAGCCCGATACTCCCGTCATCTCCGTAACTTAGAGCAGATCTCCTGTATGAAAGGTGAGCACCCTGAATGCCAGAGGTATTTGACCCTGAGCGCGATCTATGATTGGGCTTAAGCTAAGTTCATGAATATGAATTATGTCGGTGTCTAGGGAAGATATGAAAGAATACGCGTAATTTTCTATTTGCAGAGTATGCAACCGTCAATTTAGTCATTTGGCAGTGAACTCATATTCTTGGAGGTAAATACTGTGTTAATGTCTACCCTAAGAGTCTACTCTATGGTGAATATTCTCCGTCTCTAAGTTTATTATAATCACCATTAATATATTGGAAAATTGTCCAAGCCTTCGAAATACCAACGTGGTTGTTCTTAAAGGACAACAAAGGTCAAAATTTGAACTCTCCATGGTCACTAACGGATTCAAGTAGCGTGTGCCCCAAAGATCGTGCAACAGCCTTCAAGACGCCCTTCAACCAAGTCTTTTCTGGAAGCTCGACGGCATCAACGCTGACGGCCACAGTTAGCGGCCATGCTAGTAATGCAGCTATACTCGGGTGAGGCTCGTCAAGAAATGTGGTAACCTTTGCACCTCTAGCAGGGGCCTGTGAAGTGAGAGAGAACTCTACACCACAGCGCAAATCGACAGCAAGATTGTTGATATTAACCTGGCACCTCTGCATATTTTCATCCACAATGTAACCGTCAGATAGCGACTTGAGTGCGAAGAAAGCCCGTTTCTGAATGCTATTTGTGATCAGACGAAGAGCGCGGTATCGATTCCATATTGCTGCATGGCCAACCGAAGAGTAAGTATGCGAGGGGGTGTTTGCACGGGCATTTACTGCGTTCAAACTCGGCTGTGGGTGAGTGCGGCTAACTTGAAACCTCCAGTCTTGAGCAAGCCCCAATGGCCATGAAGCGAGATCATAATCGAGCGCGTATGCTTCCATCGCAATGGACTTAACTTCATTGACAATTTCTGGGTCTGCGTTGTCCATGTCTCTCAGGAAAGATATCGACTTATTTCTCAACGTCAAAACACGGATTATGAGCGAGTCTAGCTCCAGCTCGTGTCCTTCTTCGCCCCAGTCCGAGCCATCTTCTAACCAAGCTGGCATTGCTCCTCCCCGAAGAATAATGATACGAAGCTGCATGGGCTGCATGTCAGCGTACGGTGTCCATAAAGCTCGTGATATCAATTGCTAGGTTCACTTACACACTTCTGCCGAATTGCTTTATCTAGCTCTGTATCTGCTGCGAAGCCTCTCTCGCGGCGTGCACTGAGAAGGCTAGCCGCGCCCTTCTCATGGCAGACGCTCTTCTAGAAACGGGAACCGACGGCGTTAGGAGGTGGTGCCGTATATTCTCTGGCAAAGTACATGATGTTCTCATAGCCGCCCATTAGCATCATGGCTAGCATCACCTGATAAATCGTATCACTCGATATTGTACTCATGGCGTTCTGGATCTCCTCCACGGCCTTTGCGTATACTCTTTGGGAAAGGCAAAGGGCTGGTCTCACGTCCCTTTTCCGTCCTATCAGGGCATGCGAATAGGCCTCCAACGCGAGACGGAGACAAGAGTCTGGCTTAGCCAACTCCCAATGATGAAGCACGTGCGGACTGTATTCAGGGCCGCCATTCCCTAGTATATGCCTCTCCGTAGAAACGCTATCTGCAAAATAATAGAGTGCGTGCATCTCTAATGGCAGCGATAGCGCTGGCTGTATTCTGCTGTTATTTGATACCAGTGAAAAAGTAGAGCCTGAGCCCATAAGCCCCGGTGCTTGGCTGCCACTTGTCTTTGGTGGACGTCGCTGAAGACCCATAGCGAACGCGTTTTCACTCCTAAAGTGCAAACCTGTCTGCTCGTCCGAGTCCCAGGTGCATCTTCTATCGCCGGTCCGACATCTTTGGCACAGAGGTCTCGTACAATCACACTGTTTTTATCATCAATTGCCCATTTTTAGTTTTCCATGACGGAGATGATTTTGATTCATGAATTACCTTGACTTTGCGTTTTCGGCATGTTTGGCACCCAGGGCTCGGGAAGACCATTTTTACTCAATCAGGACAGACGTGCTCTGGAGTGATAGAGATGTACAATATGCAGGCATAACATCAGATTACCAAAAGCAATGAAGCATGATATCCAAGTTTAATAGGCAGCCAGAATCTAACGTGGTGCAAACCCGGATGGTAGTCATTCTAACAAGGAGATACGCCGGCGTTAAGGGAATTAGGCGTGGTCGATCCTTCGTCCGTAACTAAAGTCGGACGACATTGAGCCTACGGGGTACATCCCACCAAAATGCCTAGGGAATTAATAAGACGGTGAAGTGTGGGATAAGTTGTCAAGGTGAGGCCTCAAATAAGAAGACAATCCAGAAGATCAATAGCATTTCGAACCTGACGGGAGTTGGTTTATGATATTCATTGCATTGGATTGATACGACTAGTTGTAATAGCGACGGGTGGTGTTCAAGGCGATTGTAGGATTTCTCTAGCTTCGAGTATCTCTATATAGACACCTATTTCAACTCTTGTTAGATAGGCAGTAGCAAATTCACAGGACATTGGGCTCACCGGCTGCTTGCCAGCGACGCTCGAGGCGTTTAAGTGCTTTCACAAGTACATCTCTTGTCGCGATAGCGCTCTGCGGCTCGGATTGGCCTAGAATGGCAATCATATAAATACAGTGAAGGAAGAAGGGCGAGATGCTCTCCAAACTGGTTACTGGGTCAGAAAGGAGCTCTCTGCACCGCCCAATGACAGTCGCCCTTGTTCTTTCGACAGCGACTAATGTCTGCTCATCCCACTGCGTATGGTCGCCTTTGCAGGCCTTGTAGTGGTTATAGAGAGCAAGGAGAGAACTAAACGTGTGTGAGTTGACGATGATATGGAGTATTTGCGTATGCTTACCTATAACAAATCATGAGCTGTTCCTCGATAGGAACTGCCCACTTCCTGGCTTCAGTCTCTGCGGCATCGATAAGCGAGGCTATTGTGCGGCCCAGTTGTGAGGATTCTTTTTCTTGCCGTTGGCACAACGACGATTCGAGTCCGAGACACTGGGCTTCTAAATCCGTTTCAGAGCAATAGTTATGGGAGGTGTGCCGCAGAACTTTTCCTAATAGTCTAGTGGCTTGTGCAATCAAGGCAGGACAACCTTGGTCACGCTGTCCGAGCTTGCTGGATCCAAAGCTGTTGGCGATGGCTGTTTCTTGAGACTTCACAAAGATTAGCACCGATATTGAGGCCGTGCGCTAGATATTGTTATCGTACATCATCATAAATGACCATACTGCCATCGTCTGGTGGATCATAGACAGAGGCGAGTCGACTTGGAGAACCGAGATTGAGATACCTACGCAACTGTTAGGCTAGAAGCTAATATGGATGGCCTTGAGCGTTATGGGCGAAATGTCTAAAAATCGAGCTACTGGGTAGGAGGGGGGTGTTAGAATCGAGAGAGATCCCAAATGGTACATACCTGTCTAGGAGAACAACGGCCCACCACAGTCGCCTACTCTCTTCAAGTTCGCTGCGATTATATGGAGGACGCAGCTTCAAGGCGTTTGGTCCTCCAAAACCCATGGCCTGGCTGTAGCGCGTACAAGCACCCACGGATAGAAATGCGGATGGGTAGATGGCATGGTTAATCTCGTAGAGAGAGATGAGCAAGCCAGCTTCCAGGCATTCAACAGACAGGACACCTGCCATTTCCATGTTCAAAAATCCCTGCTTGGCTGCAAGGTGAAGGTCGGTGCGGGTTCCGTTTCGTGACGACTCGGAGGGTGCGGAGGTGATGAGCCTCATGCAGAGAAGAAGTAATGCCACATCCGCGGGCAACTCCGTGGGCGTCTTCCCCAGTAGTCGGGCGCGGAAGCGCTCTTCATCGAGAACAGGCAGCCATCTGTGTACTCCATTGAAGAAGGCCGAGACATACGAGTCTTGCTCCACCTGGGTTGCTCCTATGAAATTGGTGGGAAACGCATCGGTCCCGGGACAGGCTGTCGGGACGTGGATACGATGCTGCTGGAAGACGTATCGGTCAACAAAATAGACAGATGGGAACTCTACCCGCGGCGCCCAGAGCTCGTTGGCATTCTGGGGTTCGCAAGGACGGTCGGCATGGAGGAGGCTGCGAGTTGAGGGTAAGTTGTTATCGGCCACAACGTCACGATCAATCTGATTTGACGAAATTCTCCGCGATACTCTGCTTGTCCGCCGCGGGTAGACGCACTCGCAAGATCGACTAAGGTGTTGTTATTGGTGGTCAGTCATCTGGCAGTAGGGGCCGGTCTCCCCGCCTTTGTGCAGTTCGAACGCCTTACATTGAACACTGTGAGCACTTTGGTGTCGCTTTGTCGCATTTCCGTTTCTGCACTTTACAGGATACACACGCCGTTGCCATTATTCAACCCAGATCCGTTTAAGCCAGTCCGACTTTGTCAATTGTGAAGTAAGAGGAGGTAAAGTCTAGACGACAGCGGCGGCCGAGGACATGTGAGTTGAGATACCCGCGGGTGGACCCGCCGATCCCCGCGGCCGCGGGAATCCGAAGCTTCGACTAAGAGCCTCTCAAAGTTTGAACCTTATCATCATACTCTGTCAATGCTGTCTTCCTTCATCAAAGACTCGACACTTATTTAAATGTTGATTGTCTTTCCAGATGATGTTTCTGTCCAACAAAGACTGGCATCGCCACGATGCCTCCTGTAACCTGGAGGGAGTCCTTCCCACCCAAGCCAAGCTTTACTGAAAAAGATATTCCAGATCAGTTTGGCCGCGTCTTCATTATTACAGGTGGCTCGTCTGGGTGTGGCTTCGAGGCCGCAAAGGCCGTGTATAATCTCAACGGCCGCGTCTACATTGCCGGCCGCTCAGCCGAGAAGGCAGAGGAAGCCATCCGCAGGATCAAGTCCGAGCCGGCCGCTCCTCACCCGACTGTCAAACGAGGCCGAGGCGATATTTTCTTCCTCCGGCTTGATCTCAACGACCTTAGCACCATCAAATCATCTGCCGCCGAATTTTTGTCCAAAGAATCGAGGCTCGACGTGGTGTGGCACAATGCCGGACTCGGAGGGGCGCCGTTCGGAAGCAAGACTGTCCAGGGATTCGAGACGCATCTTGGTGTCAACGCGCTCGGTCCGTTCCTCTTTCAGCACTTTCTAACACCCATTTGTCTTACGACAGCCGCGAGGTCTGACGCCAAGTCCGGCCACTCGAGAGTTGTCTACGTTTCGTCTTCAGGCCATCGAGCGGCGCCCAAGCCTGACGGTGTTAACTGGGATGACCTGAACATGCACGAGTTGGGTGGCTTCAAGGGAGCTATGACCAAATACCCGCAGAGCAAAGCCATGCTGGTCATGTTTACGCATGAATTCGCCCGGCGTTTCGCAGCGCAAGGCCTCCTGTCACTCTCCCTCCACCCAGGATCTGTCAAGTCCGAATTCCAACGCAACCAGCCCGGGCTCGTCAAGTGGCTGACATCTCCGCTACTTTATGAACAACATTACGGCGGCCTCACTCTGTTGTTCGCAGGCTTCGCTGATGTCGCCGACACGAAGATGCTCGAGCAGGGCGGGAAAAACGGATCCTATATCGAGCCATGGGGGCAATGGGGAACTGGGGCCGACTACATCTTTGACGGACTTGTAAATCGTGGTACCGGAGAACGCTTATGGAAATTGTGCGAGGAGCTCTTGAAGGAGTGGATGTAATCTGGGCAGAGGCTCTGTAAAGTAAAAGGCATCATGCACATGTACAAATAATATCTGGCCAAACGTCTGTCAACCCTAACTTCGGTAGCTTAAGCTTTAAAAACTGCCCGCGTTTTTGTATTTCTCGAAAGACCGAAAATAGAGCTGGCCAGGGAACGGAATCAGCTATAGTAGAATATGACTGGCGACCAGTGATCTGGCAATAGCGCAGTGCCTTCTAGAAGAGGGAACGTTAGGATAAGCCATGTTGCATAGAGATGAAGGAAACAATGGGCGACTTACACATGGCGGAAATAAGTTCCTAACATAGTTTGCCATAACTAAAAATAAGTAAAGTCATCATTACTAAAAGTAAAGCCATCCTGCAAATCTAGGGATGGCGCTTCCATAGGTTGATCTGGGTCATCACAGCCTTTATCCTCAGTTACATGATCCGAGGTGTTACTATCCTGTAATATAACATTAGAAGTTCTTTGCTGTCGCTCCCATAGCAAGTGACGACGCAGGGACTCGGTAAGCTCATTCTCAAGCATATGGCGACGCGTTGTGCGCGGCGAGAGAGCAGCTTGGTCTTGCATATCGCTGGCATTGCCAACAATGGGGATCCCCTGTGTCAGCGTGGGGGCAGTGTTTATGGATCCCTCCGTCGCGAAAGGAGTCTCATCAGAGTCTTTTGGTGAGTCCTGTAGCGAGAGGTCGTTGGAGGCTGTGTGCAATTGAGGAACGGCCAAGGTCGATTGCGAGGCACGATCACCTAGACCTTGCAAACGCTTATTCTGTTCCATCATCAAGGTAAGGAGGGATCCTCGCGGGGTCGAACTGCGCACAAGGCTGGCTCGCTGGAAAAACGTGTCATCTACGTTAGGTCGGCGGTTGTCTTGTATGGGTATTCCCTGGTTAGATAACACGTCATCGTCAACGGTGCTCTCGTCACTGGAGTCAGCATCAGAACCCATGAGAGTCTCCTTTTTCGTATCTCCAGTATCTGCAGTCAATACTTCAAGAGCAGGCACTTCAAGCTCGGCCAAGACCTCGCCCTGACGAGGCACGTCACCCCACTTCCCTAAGTCTTCAGACTCGGGGGGAATGACTTGTTGAAGACCATCATCATTCGATCTTCTAGTGCTATTATCTTGGGAGGATGGAATTGTTGGAGATGTGAGAGGGTCAGGTTCCACGCTCGTGTGATCCTCGTCGCGGGATGAAGAGAAGGCGTCATCACTATCCACAACATCGCTGCTTATCTCCATAGCGACAGATTGATCGGTTTGTCGGGAAGCTATCCGGATGGTAAGGGCCATCAGTGCTTGCAAGTGAGAAGCAATATGTTGAGTCATAATCTTGGCTTCTTGAGAACTAGATTCAGTCGTAGAGTTGTCCGTATTTGCATAAGGCTTTGGAGAACTCCTATCAATACTTGTTCGTGTAGTTTTATTACTCTTCCCCTCTAATGGCTCTCCGGCTCGTTTCTGCGAGACAACTTTCGTTTCCAGATCTATGTCTCGAATCTGAAAACAACAGAGAGGACACTCATTCAGTGATCTCCGTCCAGAAATCTTACTTCGTCGTGAGATTATTTGAATCTGTTCGGCAGAAAATTGGTCAATATGCGTCTCTTGCATATGTGAATGAAGATTCTCCGGGTCTCCAAAAGTGTTGTGATCATCTTCACATATAGCGCATATCCATGAAGGCATCAGGTATACATCTTGATGCCATCGCTGACCATGAGTTTGCATGTGATCAGACCAGTCTTCAAAGGTCGAGAATCCTGCGGAGGACTCAGCACACTCTTCTGAAAGGCATATGTAGGGTTCCAAGTCACGATCCACATGTCGCCTGCGTCTCAAGATTAGACCTTCTGGCTAGAATAGGTTGAGTTCCTTCTTACCTCCATCTCGTGGGATCTAGATCCTCTCTGTTAAGTGGCTGGGCGCACCATTCGCAAACTACGACCTCACCCTCTGACTGATCCGGTGGCCGTGGATAATTGTCATATTTAATTTGGGTAGAAGATGTCTTGCGAGTTTTGGACTTTGGACGCCATATATTGTTTAGCCTAGATCGGAAGAGACCCGTGTCCAGTGATGATAGGTCGGAGAATGAACTACGCGGACCTATGGGCTGAGGAAACGAGTGCTGTGATATAACAGGGGGTGGCAGATGGTGTGCAATATGTGCGGTAGGAGCTGCCTCCTCTTGCACTGCCTCATCTTCAGGAATATCAGCCATCTGCTGTGGCTGCTCGTTTCGTCGAGTTGCTAGAGCAAGTTGTCGAGACTTAAGAAATACTATTCTTGCCAACCTGTCCGTCATGGACCTTGCGAGACGACTCCGTAAGGATGGGTGTGCGTTGGGGTAAAGGACTTGGACCATGGTTGTGAATAAGTGTTCAAAATCTTTCACATTGACATTCTGAGTGAAGAGTTTCACTCGGTGATTGAGATTCAGTCTGGCTGACTGTCGGATCGCAACACCCAGTCGATTGAGTCGATCAAGTGTCTCCTCAATTTCGGTCAAGCTCTCCACACTCGATTTCAAGGTTTCTTCTGTGTCTTGAGATTTCTCCACACCCGATTTTAAGGTTTCTTCAGTGTCTTGAGTTTTTATCTCAATATCATCAGTAGCGGTTGTACCAGAATACTCAACTACAATCCCAGTCAGGAGATATTTACACGAGAGCGAGTGAGTTGATGCACAAACATAGCGATAGAGATCTCCTCAACAACCCCAACAGACGTAAAACAATATCTCGAATATCATGTAAAGTCTGGAGTCTTCTGTCGAGGCACTGACTAGGGCGTGCGAAAACACCCAAGTAGGCTGTCCATATTGAGAATCGTTGCTGATATTCCGCTAGAAGACTTGTGATTATAGGCGAGTGTCCTTTCGAAAGATGTTTTTTAAACAACTCTTCACACTCACAAGCCAGAATGTATATGCGATCCTCGGCCTGCGGCGTTAGCGGCATGACGATGATGAGGAGGCCAAAATTAGGCACCATGTTCAAGTCAACCCTCAGCTGATGACCAACATATTGTCACATTATTGGAGAGTTCGTCCTGTCGGAATAATAATACCCCGCATCTCCAAGAAGAGTTGGTCAGCATCATGCATGACGCTTCAGCCTGGTTGAGTACTATTTGCTCACAATATGCATGGTTACATGAGTCTTTTTTTGGAAACTGAGTCAAGACTGCGGCGAGTGATTCGGTCTCGATTCTAATCATCACCTAGGCCTCTTGGCAAATGTAGGTTTGGACTTCCCGAATACAATGCCATACCTATCTGAGCTCCATGAGTGGGACCTGCTGCAACGATTAGGAGCCCTCTTGATAGACAAGAAAGCCTATTGCGATGAGCTGCCGGAGACGTGGGATAGGGCTCCAGAGTACAGCGACCGTGCCTATTATGAGGTGATGGCGTTAGAAACTGAGCTGCGCCAAGTATTTCTTCCCCGGGAGTCTGACATCCAACTGTCTGATGATAACCTGCAGCCCTGCTGGTCTCAGCTTAGGAGCGTGTGCAGCTTGTTAAATAATCTCGTGGATATCGAATTTCGGGCAAACAAGGACTTGCACAGCAACTCCTCGTACCCGCACCTCTGGGGGTTGATATATTTCCTTGATGGACTCGAACATGAAGAGGTATTTGACCTGGTTGGTGGCCCGAACCATACCCTGTTCCGTTATCGACCCGAAAGTCGGCGAGAAGATTTAAAAACAATCACTGGCTTCAACAAGTATATGGCCCAACTAGTTGCCAATCAATTCAGACCAGTGGTTGGGTCCAGTCGAAATGTCAAGAGTACGCCTTGGAAGAACACACAATTCCGAAGTCGGGCGTCCGCTGTCTTTCACCTTCTTTTTGAACGATTTACTTGCGAAATCAGCCATGAGGTTTTGCTGAAGGTATCAGAGGAGATAGCAGACGCGGGTCGTTTACCCGAACTTCAATTACTCTTGTCATCTTGCTCTAACTCTGGAACCTGGCAAGAAACACTTTGCGCCCCAGTTGAGTGAGTACACACTTCACTGTTTCTCGGCTAGGCTGTAAATCTTTGGTGTTAACTACCAATCAGAGATGACAAGGCCATCAAAGAACTGCGCGATGTTTGCCTGGAACTAAAGCAGTTTCAAGGTCAAGGCCAGGAGCTCCACCTTTCCATCCAAGAGCATCAGCTGTTTGGAGTTTGGGCCTGGCAGACAATGGGAAAGCCACCCCTAAAAACTATCCAAAAGCTTTCACTTGACGAACTTATAACGAATGGAAATTTCAAGCCCTTAAGCTGCCACTCACTCATCAGCAAACCGTCCCTCATCCGATATAATCTCAAGGAAAAGCGAGCATTGGCTGTGAAGCTCGGATTTTGTCTCCTTGACTTTTTCGACTCCCAATTGGACTCGAGAAGAATCCATTTTCTTGTTCCGAATGACGGTCGCCCCAACAAAGATCTATTGTATCTGTCCTTCTCTTCCAAGTTACAAGACTCAGATGAGTTTCGTGACTTCCGTATTGGCCATCCCGTCCTGCTTTCATTCGCCAAGCTGTTGATTGAAATTGAAGAAGGAGACAACCTACCGCTTAATATTAACTCTCACTATGGGGAACAAAACACGCAAACCTGGGCAAAGCTTTTTGAGTGTGTCGAGCGCATGGAAGTCGAGCGAAACGATTCTTACATAGAGGCAGTCGTGGGATGTCTGAACGTACATCGCCAGATAGCCAAAAGCCTCCGAGATGAGATGGCCAACGGGGAAGACATAGATATGAAAATAAGAGAGGAGCTATACCAGCACATAATCCGAAAACTTGAACTATCTCTGGTGGAATGCACGACACGGAAGAGGGAACGGTCAGAGTCCCCTGGGCCTCTTCCATCGAAACTACCCTTAGGAGCTACGTCAACCCGACGTAATGGATTATTTGATAGTGATCCGGATGATCGGGGAAAGAGACGAGAATTCTGGCCAAATTCGAAGCGGAGTCGTACCATCGCAATACCTGAAGCAACAAACTTCTCAACGATAGTTTTCAGAAAAACGATGACAAATTCCACCAATCCTGGTACATTGAACAAACGGGATAATCTTCTCAGCCGCAGTAGCAAATTCTTTCGAAACACTGAGCCATTATCTCAAAAGATCAGTGAGCAGATCGTCACAATTCCTGGTCGTCCCTCGAGCCGTGACGAATTTGAAGTGGCCATCATCTGCGCGCTACCCCTCGAATACGACGCTGTTTCCCTCTTGTTTGACTGCTTCTGGGACGAAGATGGTGGTGACCCCTACGGCAAGGCAAAGGGGGATCTTAATACGTATACAACTGGGCGCATGGGAAGCATTGATGTCGTTTTCGTTCTTTTGCCAGAAATGGGCAAGGCAAGCGCAGCAGGAGCTGCTGCTAGCCTACGTTCTAGTTACTCTTCACTGAAACTTGTTCTTCTGGTGGGAGTATGTGGCGGCGTTCCCAATCCCAACGGGAAAGGTGAGATGCTGCTGGGAGATGTCATTATTAGCCGAACTATTGTACAATACGACTTGGGAAGGCAATATCCGGAAGGGTTCAGACCTAAAGAAGGCATTGAAGCCAGCCTAGGCCGACCAACGAAGGGCATTCGAAATATGATTTCCCGGCTAGAGACATCACGTTGGCGCCAAACACTGGAGCAGCGTGCAAAATATTTCTTGGAGCAAATCCAGACGCTGGCCGTGGAAAGGCAGCCTGACCGCGACTATAGATACCCTGGATCTCACAAGGACCGCTTGTTTCGAGCAGACTACCAGCATAAACACCGGCTTGAAACCGAGTGTCCCTGCTCTCATAGTCGTACTAACGTAGACCCTATCTGTGCCTCATGTCATAACTCATCATGTGATGAACTTGGCTGTAATGATGAATACCTCGTGAAACGAACTCGCTTAGAGAGGAAGAAACAGCTGGAGAGTGAGAATCGACCGGAAGAAGCTCAAGCGCCATTAATATTTATCGGCCGCATTGGTTCCGGCGACACAGTCTACAAGTCAGCTGAACAGCGGGATACTATTGCAAGTCATTATAATATTCTTTCATTAGAGATGGAGGGTGCGGGAATTTGGGACGAGCTGCCCTGTATAGTGGTTAAGGGTGTGTGTGACTATGCGGACAGCCATAAAAATAAGATTTGGCAAAACTTTGCTGCAGCTACAGCTGCAGCTACAACAAAGGCATTGTTGGAACAGTACATCAAAACTGATAGTTTCTTCTAAAGAAGGAATGTTGATAATGATAGAAAATACCTGACCAGAAGAGCAGAATTAATAAAGAAGTAAACTAATGAAGAAGAAAAAGCCTACACAGTCTATATAAGCAGAGAATTGCTGATGAGAGTATCCCCACCCGGATATGTGACCACCAAACTAATCCTTAAACATATGCTGTGATATTACTTGGCAGAATCCATTGCGCCGGCAATTGTATATATCAGTCTATGAGCTCTTTCTAGGCGCCTTCATGGTGTGGGAGTCCGCAGTGACTAACACATCTAGGGAAATACATCTCAGACGCATGGCTGAGCTGCTTACGATGAGGGATGCTAAAGGCGCATAAAAGAGTCTTGGAAGCCTTGGCGCTTGGCTTCAAGTCCACCCAAAACCGAGTCAAGCAGTTTTAAGACTGGATGCTACAGCAACCCCACACAAGAGAAAGAATAGCGACAAAGGCGTGAAGGGATTTCGTATTTGTTAATGGACATGGGCGTATGTGTGTTAGGAAGGCTACTCGATTCACCAGATGAAACTAGCTAGGAGTTATCTCATGTCTATGATCTGAATAGACAAAAGAGAGTATTCTGCAGCTGGTGTTCACTCGCAAGTTGTTGGCTAGTGGCTAACGTGAGACGGGACTTCTTAGAACGAGAACGATGGAGAAAGGATGCTCGCTCTTACCCATGTGAAATATAGGCATGCTTGGCATGTAGGCAAGATTGCACGAACGCTATGTGATCTACTAGTTGTAAGCAGCGTCAAGGTTAATAGAGGCGACTCGCAAATCTCCCTCGCATCAAGCATTATTTAGATCTTCCCAAACAAATAAAAGCTCTGTTTCTAACCTTGTGTGTTGTTTTTCTGCACTGAGAGAGTGATAGAAGAACGCGCAATACGATCCTACGCAGAAGTGGATTTGCGTGTCATATTTTCGCTTCTCTTAGCCTTCAAAGCAATTGGTGGATTTGCCTGTCGCTTTTCATTTCGCGCCTCATGGACCCGTCGCCCTACTCCATATAAGGGCCAATCAAATTCTGCTTGCTGCGGCGGATAAAACTCATACAACTTATGCCTGGAAAGAGGACTAGAGGCGCCCGCACACCTCCCATAGGTGGAGATGAATTCACTTCGTAGTCTCGTTCTCGTTCACACGATTCTAAATATAGGAGAGAAAGCTATAGATGCACTTGAGTGTAAACAAGTTATATAAAGAGTATCCAAATGCCGCTTCCTTGGTTTCAGCAATAGCAATTCTATTCAATTCCTTTTACATCAAACCTCTACAATGTTCCAACCCAGCGCCATTCTACTAGGAGCAGTCGCTCTTCTTATTCCCAGCGCTTTAGCTGGCGAGTACGTTTATCTAATATTAAACGACTGAAGATGTGACTAATAGCGCTACTTATCTCTAGGGGAGTGCATCTTGCTAATTGTGGCCCTGACGTTTGGTCGGCAAGTGTTAGTGTTGTTGCCTACTACGCGGACGACTCTCAGTCAAACGTGGCACCATTTTCACAAAACATCGCCTTTGCTACCAACCCGGCACGTTTAGTTACTTGGGAAGGGAACTCTTATACTGCGAGCTTCGCAACTGGAAATACTTTCACAAGTCATATTCAACCTGGAAGCTTCAGCTTCGGTCAATATGCAGGAAGTGGTAACAACCAACAGCGACAGTTTGCTTGCTTCAGGGATAACAACAGGCAGCTCTGGCGATCAACACCTGCGTATGCTTGTTTCAGCATTTACTATTGTCTTGATGCCTAATTAAATTATACAATAATCTGTTGATAATTGTATATGCTTACTCTTGATCTGTCTACAATTTAAGTGATCTTTTCCATCTGTAGAACAAGATTGAGTCTTGCCTACCGATAAGGCTTTAGATTAAAAACATAAGCTTAATTCTAGCATAGCTAAGATCGACAATCACATGCATCCTACATCAGCCTTTACTGTTTCAGTCGGATTCTCAAGCGATTAAGGAAGGTTACAATCGTAGCATGCATATAGAAAAGCTGCTTTTGTCTACTTGTACTATAGCCCAAAAAGATATATGTAGCATGCAGTGAAGGCGAATCTGACAAGGGCATCTTAGAGGGTTGAGAGTACCTAAGGCTTCCTATGACTCATCTTGAATGTAACATAAACTACTCCGTAGACGATAGCTAACTAAACTAATACCAATAAGATGGTATAGCTATATAGTTTTACGATGAGTGTACACCTTCCTTTCAATGCCAATGGCAAGGTCGGCCGGAAAGAGTTTATGCGAAATCGGCACCACCGATCACTTCTTCAAACTTGACAGACACACCTTCTGCGAAGCTCGCCGCGTGTCAGCCAACAGCTGAATGCCCGCGGGTGGGAGAGGTTGAACCCGGAGGAAAACTACGTACATGTCACCGTTGCCACTCATAGGCAAAATTGTGAAGACTGGAGGGTAAACCGTATGCGAGAGGATGTTTGCGAAAGGATTCAAGCCCTGACTTTGGCTTTGTGAGATACTGGTCAGCTGTTCACGAAGATGAATGTCATTCTAGAACAGGGGCAAACTGTTCCTCAATGGTTTCTAGAAGGCTATGGCTGAAACATATGGTATTCACGTCCTCAACGCGTACACCTCTCTTCATGCTATTGTTCCGACGGGCAGTTTCTTATGCACACCTCGGCCACTTAGTAAGTGTAGTTAATGTCACCAATATTTTAAAATTGACGACGCCTCAAGCCTTAGTTGAAAGAGGTAGTCCCTAAACAGCCACATACGTGTATTAGCGCTCCATTTCTATCCCAGAGGGTTGCGGCTATAGAACATACGAAGATTCCAAGCGAAAATATGTACCAAGATGAGATCTCCATGTTTTTATTAAATAGGACGCCATTTTTACGACTTTCTTCCCCTCAACGCCCGAGAGGTATGAGCAGTTTAGAATCAGCCAATGCCACTCCGTTAAAATCCTTCGCTACGTCACATCGTCATCATATAGCGAAGCCACCGGATTCTAATCTGTGTTCTTACGCTATTCATGCCGATGATATCAGTAGGTATTTAAATCACCATGATAGTCCTCGCATCTGGGAATCATGCGAGAAAGAAGTTAGAACGAGATTTCTATATAACCTTCTCTTTTACCTTACAATAAATGAAATCTTGTCAGATTCGTCGTACTGTGCCCAGATACTCATCTTACACCGTATAGACACTATGGCAGCCTATCTTACGCAACGCATCTCTCACCCTCACATCTGTCACCCTCATCACGGTATCACCGTTTCTCGTGCCGCTACTCCAGTCCCTGAGAAGAAGGCCAAATGCTCCATTCCAATCCATAATGTTGCTGCCAAAGACGCATCTTTCTTTACCCCCGAGCAAGACCCTGTTCCGGGGAGCGCTTCACAAATTCAGGCATCTGGGAAACCTGTGCCCAAGCTTTTTTCTCCTCTCAAAATTCGCGACATTGAAATGCCGAATCGCATTTGGGTGAGCCCAATGTGCCAATACAGCGCACATGAAGGGTTTCACACACCTTGGCACATCACCCACTATGGGGGGATGGCTCAGCGCGGTGTAAGACTGCCTTTTTGAACAATCTTCTAACTTCTATTATTTTCCATTACCCTGGTGAAAATGAAAATGAAAATCGACACTAAATAATTCGCAGCCTGGCCTTATGATGATTGAAGCTACCGCCGTCCAGGCTAATGGTCGTATTACGCCGGAGGACTCGGGCATATGGCTGGACGCCCACGTCGATGCCTTGAAGAAGCATGTCGATTTTGCGCACAGTCAAAATGGTCGCATTGGCATTCAATTAGGCCATGCCGGTCGTAAAGCTTCTACAGTTGCGCCTTGGCTCAGCTCTGGCGCAACGGCAACCGAAGAAGTCGGTGGCTGGCCTGACGATGTCGTAGGGCCTAGCAATGAGCCCTTTAACGAACATTATCCAAAGCCACGCTCCATGAGTCTTGCAGAAATTGCGCGGTTCAAGCATGACTTTCTCTCCGCTGTTCGACGTGCCCTCCGCGCGGGCTTTGATGTCGTTGAGTTGCACTTTGCGCACGGCTACCTCGTTTCAAGCTTTCTGTCGCCGGCAGTTAACAAAAGGACTGATCAGTACGGCGGAAGCTTTGAGAATCGTGCTCGTCTAGCACTAGAACTAGTCGAAGCAACGCGGCAAATCATTCCCAAGGGGATGCCTTTGTTTGCGCGCATTAGCGCAACCGATTGGCTGGACACAAACCCAGAGTGGAACGGAGGGCCAAGTTGGAATATTGACGAGAGCATCAAGCTGGCCAAGCTCTTCGCCCAACGTGGCGTTGACGTGCTGGATGTGTCGAGTGGCGGCAATCACGCTCTGCAAAAGGTCATAGGTGGACCAGGATACCAGGCGCCGTTTGCAAAGAAGATTAAAGCAGCAGTAGGAGATACGATGCTTGTTAGTTCAGTGGGAAGCATCAAGACGGGGGAGGTCGCACAGAAAATCATTGAAGGAAGTAATGAGGCTGATGATACGCCGCTAGACTTGATTGCTGCGGGCCGCATGTTCCAAAAGAATCCAGGATTGGTTTGGGCGTGGGCAGATGATTTGGAGGTATCTATCACTATTGCGCATCAAATAGGATGGGGATTCGGAGGAAGGGCGAAGAAACCCGCTAAGTAGAGTATATTCTAGTTTAGTTATACTGCAATAGCTTCTAGAGCTGATACTTAAGGTTGAGAAAAGTCCTATAATCGTTTGCTTAGGTTCTTGTCTTCCTACAAATTCTTTCGTGGAGTTACCTAATTGATCAACTATTGACTGAGACTCGAGGCCCATTTACTCTGTGGCTCAAGGACGCTGTTTGCACGGCCTACAGCTTGTCATGTCTCTTGTTTCAGCTCTAGACGGTGCTTTTTTTTTTTGTCTAGTTCATTGGATAACACTGTCGAATTTTTAGCAAACCATAGACAGAGAGCTCGGTTTGTTTCTAAGGCGCCTGATTCAGAACATATATCATTGTCTGACAGGTAGTTCGCTATCTGAATCTAGCCTTGAGACTTAGATCGCCTCTCCGATATACTAAGCTAAGTTGCATGTTCTTATCCTACATGTCTATCACAATGCTCACAGTATACATTCTTTCTGAACTCACCTATCTACTTACTTGCTATACATAAAACACCGAGTCCGTGTGGAGTGAGCTGCTGCTTGGTATACTAATCATAAATCCAGTGGTGGCGCCCTCATTTGTCAGCTGCCGCAGCAGAGACACCCTTAGGCTGGCACAATGCTTGCTAAATACTATCGAATAAACAAACTTATCTCTTGTTAACTGTTTCTTCCAAGTGGTATCAGCAAAGATGACTGCGACTCATTCGCGGATCGCTTGTCATGCCTGTCGCCGTGGCAAAAGACGCTGTGATAGAGTCTTTCCAGCATGTCAACTGTGCATCCGCAAGGACATGCACTGCAGCTACCCAAGACCCCCAGCAAAGCGCTCGTATACTCCTGAAATTGTCTGGGATGACGAGCCGTTACGAGAAGACTCATCTTTCTCCGATTACCATCCACTTCCACAGGTTGAACAAACACCATATCTGGATTCAGCGTTCGATACAGCGAGAGCTGTCCAATTCCTAGCGCCTAGGATATTCCGCGACATCCAGCTAGAAATCCCTCGCCTAGAACTTCCAGTGCCAAGTGATGTTGCGGCTTACGTCGGAGACCCTCAACAAATCCGCGACATAGCTGCCGTGTTGTTTTCTCAGAATGCCTCATGGCTGCCAATAGTTTGCCGGAAGCGCTTCTTCAGCTCTTTACTTAACCCACTATCTCCCCGACAAGCGGACGGCGTCTTATTGGCTCTGTGTGTCAAGCTCTACTGTACTACAACGGTTCATCGTGGAGACAGCCCAAAGACAGCTCTCTACAGAACAGTAAAAAGGTACCACCATGAGATCGAGGCCGCGGGCATCATGTCCCTACAGGTTCTCCAAGCAACAATCTTCATTGCGCTGTACGAAATGGGCCAAGCAATTTACCCTGCCGCATATTGGACCGTCGGCACCTGTGCCAGATATGGCATTGCCCTTGGTCTGGATCAGCTAATGACCAACAACAACGGGTTTGATGGACCCTGGATGGAAGTTGAAGAAAAGAGGAGAAGCTGGTGGGGAGTATTGGCTCTAGATCGGTGAGTCACCTAGAACTCCGAATCAGCAATTATTTACATCAGTTCAGCCTTCATTGTGGTCTTTGCTAATCTTAAAATACAGCTTTTTGAACTTCGGAGACCCTTCCAGACATCTGGCCACAAATGATCCCGAGATCAACTACTATCTTCCGATTGATGACCAGTCTTTCATAGAAGGAGTATAGTTTCCTTGTTACCACATATGTATTAATATGTCGAGGCTAATGTTTCTATCCACAGAACATAGCGCACAAAGATGCTATTCCGATATCAGCCGCATTCCATCTGAAGACGGGCAGTTTTGCTCGACTTGCTCAAGCCACATACTTGACAAGCGAAGCCCTCCGACTGGCAGCATCTGCCGCTTCATCTAAAGCGAACAGTCCGACGTGTTTGAAGGAGGATACAGCACAATTGCGGCGCACTCTAGAAGCACAGGTCAATGCCGCGGAAGAAGAGCATACAGCTCGGAGATTGTCATTTTGCTGTCAGACAATGTTTTCTTACTGGTAAGCAAAACTTCAGAGTATTATGTTGCAAATATTAACTTTCGCAGCGGAATATTTTTACTTCAAGACCAGCACTGGCAACAACTTCGCATCGGTTCTGCTATAGTTGCAGATAGTCACACGTTTCCCGAGACCAAGCGGGCTCTCGAAGTCTTGGGGCGTTCGGCATTAGTTCTTCGAAAGGACTTTGAGAACGGAGGGCCTCTAGAAGAAGGCTTGCCCATCTTCTTCATGCAGACCGTATATCTAGCGGCAATGATGGCCATGGAAATTGGACAGGGTAATCCAGACAAGGAAACTCAAGAGAAGATTGATTCTTTCAGATGGCTTTTAGAGTATCTTCGATCGCGCTGGAAAGTGGCCGGTAAGTCATGTTGCGAAAAGCGTTCAGAGGTAACGGTTCTAACTCTCGATAACCCAGAAATATACATGGAAATTTTAGATGCAAAGAAAGCATTCCATGACTTCAATAGTATACCTGTAAGCAGGACTACTTGACGAAAGCCTCATCAGCTTGGCGACTCAATGAAGACAGAGCGTTTGTTCAATTTAGTACTAGATCGGGCGCTCTACCATGTCAGCGCATCGAGATCTATGCTCCATAAACAATACGCGATCGCATACACTCCAATCCAGTTTCTTAGCATTGACACCCAATCTTTTTCGCGAACAAATATCCTACCGTATATAATGGCCCATTTGACAGCATGTGGTCGCAGAATATGTTAGCCAAGATAAGACCCATTGCCCTCTGACCAGGAGAGCGAATTCATCGGCCAGTTCAAGCTTGGAGAAATAAAATTTGGAATTGTATCCTAGTCGATGCCACTGAAAGTTCTAATGGAATAACTCTTAACACGAATCTAGCAAGCAATAGGCCTAGATCAGGCCTCTTGGACCGCAGTCTAATGACTTGGATGCGTAGGACTTGCAGAGACTGGTTTAGCATGACAAATCCCCTCTCTGTATACTGCGCGGCGTAAAATCGTCCCCAGCAACTTCATTTCATATTTGTAAACGATTTATTTGAAATCAACATCTAGGAGAGCTCTTGATTAGTGACAAACGTACTTCGATAGACCTGCTACACTAAATTATATCGGTATCATCTTGGATATCCCTACCATAACAAGGGCCTGCGAACTCGGTTCACTAATAATTATTATAATCAACATCACATCCACCATTGAACTGATCATCTAGAGTCTTTAGATTAGTAATTTCATTATGGAAAAAACATCCAGCTCGAATATAAAATGCCATCTAGAGAACCACAAACCTCCAGATACAATCAGCACGAACTCAATCAGTACTAAAATCAGCACTGCCCATCATGTCTTCCAATAGGTCTGTCGCCATTCCAATGAAACAGAAAGATCTATCCTTGAATGTACACTAAACTCTCAGTTAGTCTCCTACAAAGCATCATCAACGCCAATGGTGGCCTCGACTACTGGAACTCCATCCAATCTCTTTCCGCAAGCTTCCAATTTTTAGGACCAGCATTAGAAAGCAAGGGATTTCCCGGACCATATAAAGCGGAAGTAACAATCGATACGAAATCTCAAAAGGTCGTCTTCAAGAGATTCGGCGATTTCCACGGCTCGTGGTGCCCGACGCGGACTGAAGCCGGCAAAATCGGCCAAGATACGGTTGACGTCCGAGAAAACCCTAAAGAAGCTTTCAACACTCATACCGCGGAATCGAAATGGGATATCCACCATCTCTTTTGGTTCGTGGGCTATGCCTTCTGGAATTATTTCAACTTTCCTTTCCACCTCCAGCAAAATCCAGACATCAAGGCTCGAGAACTGGAGCCCTTGGTTCGCGAGAACGGCGAGGAGTGGCCAGTGTTGGAAGCCACATTCCCCGATGGATATCCCACTCACACTAAGATCCAAACCTTCGACTTCGATGACCAGTATCGATTGCGGCGGATGCGCTACTCTGTGGATGTGTTAAAGAACAACAATGTCCCCGCGTGGCATAACTGCTTTAACCATGCTGTGGCTGGGAAAATAAGCTACCCAACCTTACGAGTTGTGACGATCTCTGCCCCTGGAGTGGCATTCCTTTCCCCTTTTATGTTGATGGACATCAAGCTGGAGGTCAATCAAGATTGATTCCAAGAGACATCATCCGATCTGGAACTTGTCAAGCATGGGGATGTAGCTATTTTAGCCCATCAGTCTAGAATAAATATTGACAATATTATTTATGCCGAAAAGCTGAAAGTAAGATCCTCGTATCATATCGCAGCCCCGACACTAGAAATCATGTTCACTCGCCTGTATGACAAGTGCAAGAAATTGTCGCCCAACTACATAACAAAGATGCCCATCTCTAAACCTCCATCTAGTGATTCTTTGAGGCAGTTTATCGTCGGAAATTCTTTCCCATCTGTAGAATCCTAGTTCCACAGCCGGAGGTGCCATCACCCTCTCATCCATCTTCAGGGGTTCCGCCAAGGCGCTCAGCTTGGGAGACCAGGCTAAATTCCTGATTCAGTCGTCCAAGCTGATAACGGTCCTTGCAATACAATTATTAATGTGCGATTTCACTGAGTACAAGATGCAAATGCAGTGGGGCGAACGCACTCGTTCGGGGTCCGATGACACCGCAGGTAATCTACAACAATTGATCTTGATGCTGCGGAGTGCTGCGGACAGGAGCGGATGGCTGCGGAACGCTGCGGACACGGCTAAACCACACTCAAGACTATCCTCGAGGATTCCGAAGCTAAACCACAAGCTGATGGTAAGAACTACAACCAGTCCCCGAATCACTAATCAACAATGGAGAGCCTCAACCTAATACGGTAACTGGCCCTTGAATCGCTGGACGCAAAGAGCGCCTGCTTACACGAACATCTTTTGCAACTATGTCGAACCTCATTTTTCGGAAGATGGGTCCCAAGTGGAATCCTCGGGATCAAAGTTTCTTCCTTTTGCCTCATCCCTTATCATGACTCTAAAATAAATACGATGTACAGCATCCCGCAGCAGAAAGTTAACATCTCTCCAGAGCATGTCACAGCACGATATTGAGCAGACACTTCAAGCACCATGTCGAAAGCTTCCGAACTCGAATCTGTGGGCAATGACCCAAACGCCAGCCCAATGATGATGAACAGTGACACAGAAACCGCCGTCGTGGAAGAAAATGAGGTCAAGAAATCGCAGCCGACTCTCCGAGATAACATCTTCGCTTTCTGTATCGTTTTCTGTCAACTGGTTCAAGTATGCTAACCTTTCATATCTCGGCTTTCGAAACTATAATCCGACTAACCGCCAAGTACAGGCTATACCATACGGCGCAGGCCTTGTAGCCGCCATTGGTATTCCGAAAGCATTAGGAGCACCCGGAAGCAAAAGCGTCTGGATCGCAGCATCATACCCGTACTCATCTTCACTCCTCATTCCAACAAAGACAGCACATATACTAACAGTTCTAGACTAACACAAGGCGCATTCGTCCTCATAGGCGGCCGCATCGGCGCCGTCCACGGCCACAAAAACACCATGCTCGTCGGCGCCTGCATCTACGTCCTCTTCCACCTCATCACAGGCTTCATGCGATCCGCAGACACCGTCATCGTCATGCGCGCCCTCAGCGGCGTCGGCGGCGGAATCATGGTCCCCAACCTAATCGCCATGTTAACGATTGCTTTTCCGCCGGGTCTGATGCGAAATATCTGGGTTGGCATGTTTGGTGCCATGGGTCCGGTTGGTGCAGCTGGCGGGACTGTGTTTCCTGGGTTTTTTGGACAATTGACAGAGTGGTGGTGGTTATACTTCTTCTTGTAAGTCATCATGGATATAAACTGGTTACAAGAGAGTATATACTGATATATAGCTTACAGGGCCATCTTTGGAGCAGTCGTTTTTGGTGCAAGCTCCTTCGTCTTGCCTCCTGACGGCAGACCTATGGACGCAGACGGAACAGTTGACTATATCGGCGCCTATTTCGGAGTCGCTGGTCTCGTCTTGTTCAATTTTTCCTGGACGTAAGTTGCTCTCTTAACAGTTCCTATAGTCCATTAGATCATCACTTACTGACAAGAAACATAGAGAAGCAGCTGTTGTCGGCTGGGAACAACCCTACGTCTACGCTCTTCTCATAGTCTCCATTCTACATTTCGTCCTCTTCGTCATATGGGAAGGCAGATTCGCAAAAGAGCCTATTCTGCCCCTCGATATCTGGGGAGCCCCTTCATTCGGTCCAATGGTCTTGTCCGCCTTCATGTCATTCATGGGAGTCGGCATCTTTCTCTACTACGTCCAAATCTGGAATATTTCCATCCGCCACTATTCCAACCTCCTCACCGGAGCAGTCAACTCTGCCTTTGCCACTGTCGGTACCTGCGGCTGCTTCGTCAGCGCAATCGCCGTGCGATATCTCCCTGCGCAAGTAGTCATGGCCACCGGCGCAATAGCAGCGGTGGTCGCTACCATCATCCTTGCTACAATGCCAGCACAGCAAACATATTGGGCTCAGTGCTTTCCCTCATTCATCATTATGGGATTCAGTCCCGATTTTATCTTTACGGCGACACAGATCATTACTAGCAATAGTGTTCCACGGAAGCACCAGGGAATTGCTGGGTCACTAATGGGTACCATCCAGATGTACGGTCTCAGCACTGGGCTAGGATTTGCTGGAACGGTTGAACGGTATACAAACGATGGCGGCCGTGATCAACTCGGAGGCATTCGACATGCCCTTTACCTTACGATTGGAATGGCGGGCGCTTCTGCGCTGATATCACTGTTTCTTATTCGGATCCCGAAAGACCAGCGTGATGGGTGGGATAAGGAGGATGAAGCGGCAGCGTAGACTCAGCTTTTGACGTTCCCCTTTCCATTCCTCATGAGGAAATTCGGCATCACGGTTTCATCTATTGGCCACAGTTTCTTTGCCGACCACGGTTTCGTCTACTGTATACTAATCTTTGTACCAAGATAGAAGGCATCGTAATAAACTCTATCGAAAGCTGCAAAAGTTTTCAACAATCAGGCACACTAACGGGAATGTGAAGCGGAACACTCGTTGCCAAACCGCTCAAGCTCGTCTCCTTAAACTCGTTTCTCATGCCCTGGGCCGTCACCCGCATGGCCCGAATGGCATCGTCAAGGCTGACCTTTTGCGTGCCAGTCTCACCGCTGAGGGCGAGGTTGGCGCTCGAAATGGCCTTGATGGCACCCAGAGCATTACGCTCTATGCAAGGCGCTTGCACCAACCCGCCAATTGGATCGCATGTTAAGCCCAGGTTATGCTCAATGCCGATCTCAGCTGCCTGTTCAATGGTTTGAGGGCTCGCTCCCATACAGGCTGCGAATGCTCCGGCTGCCATGGAACATGCGACGCCCACTTCGGCCATGCATCCGCCCTCTGCTGCGGAGATGGTGGCACCGCGTTTATACAGCATACCAATGGCGGCAGCTGTCAGCAAAAAGGATAGAATGTCGCGCTCCGGGTCATCGCTAACGAACTCGATGGTGTACTTGAGCACCGCGGGTATAATGCCTGCCGCGCCGTTTGTTGGGGCGGTAACAATACGTCCACCTGCTGCATTGGTCTCGTTAACTGCCATGGCGTATACAGTCAAGTAGTCCACTACAGTTTTGATTAGCTTTTTCTCCTCAGAATGACACTATCAAGTCTGAATAATACTTACTTGCCGGGAATGTGGTACGTCGTCGGGGCGATGGTAGTACCGGATGAGTAAAGGAGCCATGTGTTCGTAGAGGCATGCTTCTTCTGGTAGCGAGGCTCTTTCGTCCTGAAGAGGGTGGTGCCGAGGCCGTAGTGAGAGTTGAAGTCCCTGTTGCATCTGAAGCTGATGGCAATGCTTGGCTTTCCGGAAGCTGAGCCTGTGTCGTTTCTGTGCCCTGGGTGGCGTGAGAAGGATACAGCCCTCTTGTGAGCCGTCTATACAACGCTGGTGCTCGTCTATGCAGTTTAAGACTTCCAGGCAGTGTTGAATCCGGTGGTGCTTGGACACCTTCCAAGATGCTGTTGTCCATGACCTCCCAGATACGGAAAACCTTGTCGCGAATTTGCTCATCTGTATAACCGTGGCTCTTTTCGTTTTCATACACCAGTTGCGCAATCGTTAGGTTATGCTTATCGCACAACGCCAATAGGCTTTTTGCGTCTCTGAAGGGGTATCGAGGCTGGTGACCAGGCGCACGATCTGATGCCGGGGCGTCTTCCGACGAGGAGGTGACAGGGGGTGGTGCTTGGCCACCCTCGGAGCCAGATGTAAGTAGACCCGACGACTCTCCTTCCAGGGGTTTGATCTCTTGTCCAGTTCGTCGGTTTCCTGCCGCATCCTCTCGCCTGATCTCCTTATAGTACATGTTCTCCGCCAGGTCAAGTGGGTGTCCACTGTTGCCTTCGGTCTGTTGCTGATGGACCTCGGACAACCCTAAGCCAGCGTCTTCGGCTGATGATGGTGTTTCTGAATCTGGACGGTTGATGGACAAAGCACCGTTCACAACGAATCCACCGCCAACGCTGAACATGTCATTGGTTGCCAACATGTAGCCCTCTTTGTCAAACACCATGAGACGCATGCCATTGCTGTGCTGGGGGAGCTTTCTCGTCCATTCCCACTTGAAGTCGCGCTCATAGTCGAATGCAATTTCTTTGCCCTTGTCATCTTCGAGCTCGCGGCCCAGAAAGAGCTTCTTATCTGTCTTGATCTGCTCAAAGCGCTTAGGCACGTAGTCTGTATCAACCGTCTCCACATCGGCGCTCTCGAGGCCAAGCAGAAGAGCAGATGGTGTCATATGGCCCTCGCCAGTGAGAGCCAGACTGCCGTAGAGCGCTACGCGTATTCTGTCGACTTTTTCTAGCAGGCCGGCTGCATGTAAATCTGAGACAAAGATGTTGCCTGCCCGCATAGGTCCGACGGTGTGAGATGATGAGGGGCCAATGCCAATGGAAAAGAGATCAAAGGTCGAGATAACGGCATGCTCATGGTCGGCCTCGCTGTAGGTTCCAGTTTCATCGTCGAATTGATTACGCCGAATTGCTGTGCTGCTGAAGCTCCGAGAGACTGAGAGACGCGGTGCGCAGCTCAGCAGCTGGCTCTTGGCCTTGAGGGGATCGCGAGCTG